AAGTAATGAAGCATGCACTTTGTACTATGAAATAAGGCCTAACCATTACTAGACACTTCCCAGAGTATTACTATACCTACATTTTCACAGGTACTGCTGATACTATCTCCTAGCAGAAAACCCATTCCTTGGAGGCTTACTCTTTAACTGTTTCCTATTTCTCTTCTTTATTTAATCTTGTAAGACTTTTCAGATCTTTCGTGTCAGTAGGTAGTGACTCCACATCTTGCCATGGGACTTTACCTGCACAAAAAATGAAAGCAGCTTTTATAAACTCAGAATCATATTTCATAGAACTTTATGATTACATATGAATTTGTAGTTGCTGATTTCAAGTTTATGATTGCTCTTCCATTATATTTTTTAGAGCAAATGGGACTGCATCTATACAAAAGGTTCTTGGAAAACAAACCAATGAATTAAATGTTTTTGTATGGTTGCAGTGGATCCACCTTATTTAATCTTGTTTCCCTCACTGCATGTTTGCCTATGCACTGCCTGCCAGTTCAGCTCTGCCAGTTGTCTTCGTCAGTATTTTCTATTAAACTGTCCACTGCATACTATATGATCTGTATATTTTACAATTTTTTATAAAGTTTGTCTTATTAGCTTAAGCTGTATTAGCATTTCATATGAGTATATTGTGTGTATATTAATTTATTTTCAATTTACCTTTCATGTGATCTGACTGATATTTTGTTACACTCCAGGGTGGACAGGTGTGTTGTCGTTACCGCAGCCACTGTGTGGGTGATGGGTACTGGCCTGCCTCTCCAACTCTACTCCCTGGTGCTTCGAGGGTTGGGAATGCTCCATCTGTTGTTATGGGGGATGCTAATGTGCTTTATAGCACCCCTCCTTCGGTGTTTCACAGCTCTCTGGCAGTTACTTCTAAAGTTGCCACAAGTGATGTCACTGCCCCCTCCAAGAAGGCTGTTTGGGAGCTTGTCAAGATTCACCAGCACCAGCCCAGTTCTACCCGCACCCCGTCGCCCACCAGACCTGCCCCACATTCTCATGCCGCCTTGGTGGTGGCTTCCAACAAACCAGTGGGTAGAGCTCCCCTACCCCATGATGTGCCTCAGACATTTGCCCCGCTGGGGAAAACTAGTGATAGTGACATTGCAAAGACTCATGTGGTGCCAAGTACTTGGCACCATAGACTCATTTATCGAAATCCCATCTCATGGATCCGATCTCGTAAAGCACAATTATTCAGGGAGCGCCGAGAGAGGCAGAGAAACAGTGAACCATAAGCTAAGTCAGGCACAAGTGGACGTGTGCCTCAATAAACCCCCCAGAGCCATACCTCCAACCTGAGGATGGCCAAACCCCGCCACACCACGACTCTCTGCGGCAGGAGGCGTCTCAGCTATCCTGGCCTTCTGCTCACTATTTATCAGGCTTTGTACGGAATCTTCTCCAAGCAGAGGGGCAGATCACCGCCTGGCTGATTAATGGGAGTTGGAATCTTCACAAGCAAGAATGTTTAGTCAGCCTTTAAAGATGGGGCAGTGCCAACTTTCCATGAGGGTGAGGCAGCAGCAGAATTGACAGTCCTGTTCTCTTTGATTGTTGCTCCTCACTGTTCCTCATGCTATTTCCTTCAAGCAGCTCTTCTCATCAAGTTGCATTGCTCCCATGCCCTCCGCAGCAGCAGCAGCAGCAAAAGCAGCTAATGCAAGTTGCAGATCCCACTATGAGGTCTGTTATACCGTAGTCCGCCTCAGCTGTAGCCTTGTCTGCCTCTGCCTGTCAAGCGCTAGTCTTCCTCAAGTCGTGGTCAGTGTTGCGGTGGTCCTGGGGGAGTGAAGCGCCCAGATACAGTGATTCTCGGGACTATTGCGTCTATGTCCGGGGATTCTCTAGCTGAAACTCAGTGTTCAGGATAGCGTAAAGCGGGTGCTCGGAGGTATGGTTGTGTTGTACATATCATTTATATAGTGTTTAGGCTACCTGGCCGATTATTATTTTGGTGATTCAAAGTGAATGTTGCCATAGCCCAGACTGCCATGAATTGATGCAAAGACTGTTCACTTGTTTTATCTCTGGTCATTCCATATGCCTGCTAGTCACATTAGTCTCGTCCTTATTTTGTTGTGTAAGGTATTGTCACATTGTGCATTTATAACTTAAGGGAATATACATTCCTTTTGTCGCATAAATGAAATGTTGAATTTTACAAGAGATGATATCCTGCACTACAGTTAAATATTATTGAGTCTCTAGTCATTCCTAATAAATATCCTATACTTTCTGCTGACAAAACTGCCTACAGAATGATTGGGTAAACTCAGTATTGTTATCAAACACAACATTATCTGTGTGTGTACTTGTCTATGTCTAGTCAATTTTGTTATACTGACATGGAAGTAAGTTATTAGTAACCTTTGGGCTTTTGCATGTTGACATCTATCTTTGCCCACTGTTACCAAGCCCCCTAAAAATTATATGGGCAAACATTGGGGAGAACACCTGATCACACGTAACCTACATAACT